CACCATCCAAGAAGACGTGATATTAAAACGAAACGCCAGCAGAATCGGATCTGCTGTCGTCCCGTCCTGCCGAGGGCCGCCGTGCAAGAGAAACGACAAAAAATATATACAATTTTTTCGGTGGGGACCCAACCGGAGTAACAAAAACGCAACAGGAGGGCGGGCTAAAAATTTAGGGCGAGGACCTAAAGGATGAGGAGGAAGAAGAAGAAAAAGAAGAGGAAGAAAGCAGCGGAAAGCCGACAGGAAATTAGCGTTTCTTTAAGATTCTTGCGAAACAAAGGCGAACGGGCGTGTCACTACAAACCATAAAGGCTAAGCAACGTGGTACCACTCTTTATAAAATCGTTGAAAAGGAAGTAAGAAAAAAAACAGGCAGCAATTATTGCGAGTATTTTGTCAAAGAAGCGAAAACGGACATTGTAATCGGTTCGTCGTAATCGTGACTGATTTCTGAAAACAAACTCTGACGCATATAGTGTAATGTGTGAGAGCAGTGCACTCGATCACGGCCTAAGTGCTCTATGATGTGCCGTGGGTGCGGATGTGCGGCCTGCCGCTGCTGCCGCTGCTGAGCCCAGCAATAATTATCCACAGCTTTTTGCATAATTTGGCGCGGATCCAGCGGCACGTCGCACCGCCGGGCTGCTGGGCTGGACCAGGCTGGGCCGCAGGCACCCGCACACCCAAACACTGCTGACGTTGACCTTCTCGGGTCGGCCCGCTTAGAGAAAGAGAGGGGAGGGAGAGAGAGGAGAGGAGGGGGGAGAGAAGGGTGAGGGTCGCATTTCGTCGTACAGAGTCCAGATAACGGTGACCATTGTGCGCGTGGTCGTGGGATTCGCTAGCATCGCGTCTAGCCAAAGCCAAGGAGGAGCAAGGTCGGGGCGAGGAGGGCGTCAAGAGCTCTCGCTCTCTCTCTCTCTCTCTCTCTCCCTCTCTCTCTCTCTCTCTCTCTCTCTCTCTCTCTCTCTCTCTCTCGTCCTTCATGATGGAATGCAGAGTGAGGCAACTGCCAGAGCAGCAGCGTCCGCATTTCTCAGGGCTGTTCCTCATATCACATAGCCATATCCCCCCCCCCTCATCTTTTCCCTCCTAACGCGAGCGCATGTCTTCATATCGCTATCGGGCGAAAAGAGGACGGGGATAAGGAAGAACAAGGAAAAAATATAAAAAAAGGCGGAATATAAGTAGGCCTCAGACTGACAAGCACGCGTGTCGGAGGACGAATGGTGCGCGCGCACCCCGACCGAAACATGAACAAATGCGGTGCAAATGTTTTGCTTCGTCGAAATAACAAAACCCCCCTGCCCGGAACGAGATAGAGGAGGGGTAGCGAGGAGAAGAGGAAGGGGAAGGAGAGAGAGAGAGAGGTAATTGGTCAGACGCCTCGCGCGGCCTGGGCCCGAACAGTGAATATAACGGCCGCCATATCGCCGGCGCATCGCTCATCCGAATTTGGCACGCAAGTGAAATTTAATAGACTCGGCGGGGCTCCGCTAGCGGGACGGCCAATATATCGTAGGAATACTTATCGGGGACGGAGCAGAGGAATGGGGATGGATGGCGCGAGGAGGCTGGCGAGAGAGAGAGAGAGAGAGAGAGAGAGAGAGAGAGAGAGAGAAAGAGAGAGAGAGAGCTAGAGGCGTGCAGCCGAGTGGGAGCGGGCAAGGGTTACAGAAGTTATGGAGGAGAAAGAGTTTTTCAAGGGAACAAAACGGATGGTTTAGGTGTGATTGTTTTGTGTTAGAAATGTTGAAGATTGCGATAATATATGTAATTTTGAGGTCTTGGCCCAGAGAGACTCGTGCGCCGGGCAGCAAATCATGCGAGGAGCTGCGAGTGGTTTGTAATTACTGACCAGCGCCCGATTCACCTGCTAACCCACCAGGCCGATCGTAGAGGGAGAGTTTCAACAAATAAAACGAAGTTGACAAGTCTAGTTTCAAGTGTATATTTAGACCAAACGCAAAAGCTGCAAGATTGTAAACGGTTCATCAAAAACAAAAAGAAAAGAAAGAAATGAAAATTGATTGTAGTGCTACTAGGATTTCGGAATAATCCAGCCATCCACCGCCCAGCATGCGTAAAGTTTTTCAAGTTGGCCAAACCGAACTCTGTACCTATAGTGTCCATAAGGCATGATTGGAAAATTTGGGAAAGTCCAGTTTGCCGGGGTGTTATTAAACTTAATGACTCCCTGTAAATCAGATTAATCAACATGTTTTAAGCCTAAAAAATATCCGCTCTTCACCCAGAGAATCGTTTCCCTGATTTAAAATAAGTTTTTAATTTGAGGCATTTCTTTAATTCATAGAAACTGCTTTGATTTGAAGCAGCCTTCTTTAATTTGAAAAAAAGGGTTTCCTTGAATTAAATTTATTTCTTTGAAACAAAGAAAAGAATACTAGCTATATGTACGCCGGACCACGTCTCGCGTAACAGGCTTCGCGATATCTCACGAGACACTGTTACGCTGCGACACGCCTGGCGCACATATAGCTAGGCCTGCGGCGCTGACACCCGAGACGAGTTAAGGAGAGTGTATAGGGGAAAAGGGCCTTCCGGGCCCAAAATTTGACATACTCAACCCATTTGTCGGGGTCTTTTTACTCTAAAAATTAGGGACATGAAACTTCTGCTGTTCGGTAACGGTTTTCATTAAAAGTTTGAATTTTGACAGATTGTTATGTAAAAATCAACGTTTTAGAGATACTAGGTAATGTAGGGACCCTTAGGCCCAAAAGAGGGTGTAGTGCGACCTGTGGTTTAAGTATTACTCCCTTTACAATTCTGTGACATGCAGCCTTTTTACGATTTAATGGACCATTTTGTCTTTTTCACGTTGTTTTCGCCAAAAAATGCCCCATAGCGCCGAAACGGTACAAGATAGAGCAAAACGGACGAAATTTTTACCCAAAGGGTTTTACTTTGACGAGTTACCCCTTAGGAACACATAAAAAATATTTGAAAAAAATACATTTTGCAACCTGCGGTTTTCGATTTTTTAAAAAGTCAATTTTTGAGCTAGAATGCTCATCTTCGAACTCGATCTGTCTTTTTGTGATACAAAACGACCCTAAAATTCCAAGATCGCTCTCTCAATTCTTTCTCGAGTTATCGTGCGGACAGACATACAAACAAACAGACAAACAAACAGACAAACAGAATGAAACTTTTCCGGTCAGTGGAGTAATGGGCTTCGCTAATCGCTCAGCCAAAAATTCTATTTTAATCCAAAGAGTCGTTTCTTAGATATGGATTTGAAGCAGCGATCTCAAATCCAATTAATTCAATTTATGTGTTTTTCTTTGAATCAAAGATTTATTTCTTTGAAATAAAAAAGATTGTTTATTTAAATTGAACAAACATCTTTAAATCAAAGAAGGCTCTCTTTGGATCAAAACAGGCTGCTTTGATTCAAAAACATTTCTTTAAATCTATATTGAAGAAAGAATTTCTTTGTTTTAAAGCAGCCTTCGTTGATTCAAAGAAATTAAATTACACTGGAAACTGAATAAGTGAATGTCCCACGTCCCACACTAGTAGGTTAGGTGAGGGAACACTATTCGTAAACATGGATGCACAAGTGTACGAATCTCAACAAAAAATGACACTTTTATTTGTGTCATGGCGCACCAACCACAAACCGAAAATTGCTTTTGCCCCAGTGGTATACGGGTCGGGCCTTGAGGTACGGTACGGTCACCGTATTAATTAGTACCTAAAGTGTCTAAACGTCGTACACGGTGCCATAACTCCAGGTAGCCAGAATAAATCTGACTGCAAACACAGTCACTACGAAGCGTCAGACGTCAGGATGCTAATCTGAAGTTAGAAACCTAAATGAACGTAACAGTATGGCGAGAGAAGACTTACAGTCTGAGTACTTACAGCTTTCAACGTGCAATTTGGACCTTTGACTTCTCCCTGCTTGAAAACGTCCTTGTAGATTTGAGGAATATTGTCTCTGAAAGCTCGACATCCATTCTTTTTAAAGTTAAAGACAAAGGCGTTTTCCTTCCATTGGTTATTTGACCGGACATCAATAATTACTTTCACCTATTATTGTAAAGATTTGGTAAGTAATCGTTACTCAACTCTGCCTGCACTATGGAGCACTTCACTCTAAAGAAGAACAAGAAGAAGATGGCCGCTGGGGCCAGTGGTGGGGGTAGGAACATACCATTAATTGTTTAGCAGACGAAGCGTGTAGAGACCGACGTGATTTTTTTTTTGGCTAACGATTTTCGCGCAGTGTTAAAATTAATACAAATTTGAAGTGATTAAACAATTTCTGCACTTGCGGAACACTGCCACACTTAATTTTGGTCAAAGAGCGTTGAAACTGAAGCAACATTGGCCGGCGTGCGGAAGAGGTTCGGTAGAAAGATGGCGTCGGTCTCGGCTGCTAAACAAATGAATGTTTCGAGAATGTTTGTTATGTTTATACCCCCACCACCGGCCAGCGACGATCTTCTTTTTGTTCTTCTTTAGAGTGAAGTGCTCCATTATGACTTCACAATTTACCACTGATGAGAGCGGACATGGTTGTCAACTTGTTGTAATGGCTGACACTGTAAAAAATTGTCAAATACCGGGCACAGAAAATTTTTAAATGGAAGATGTCATGCAATTACAATTTAAAATTGTGAATTTGCAAGCACTGTGTATCGATTTAAATGGAGCGACCAGCAAGAAGTGGGAGGTTGTAAATGACTGCACGCTTTGTAAAAGGTAAACAAAATACATCGTAAATGTACCGGGTGTAACTGTGAATACGCAGCAGTGTTGTGGGATTGCATATTCAATATGACCGCAGGAGCAATGGCCTCTTACGGGTGTAAACAGTAGACAAACCCGCAACACTGCTGCGTATTCACAGTTGCACCCGGTACAAACATTTTTTTTTTTTTACAGTGGAACACACATCTTTGTGTGAGTCATTTTGTCATCGACTTTCAAGTGTTTGAAGTTCTATCTTTAATGTCTTACCCAAGTGCTGTCATCATACGTAGACGAAAACGTCGCATTGCCTGTCAGCAGTTGCAAGTCTTTTGGCTTATGTGGGTTGAAGTGAGAAGCACGCACATACCATGGCGAGGGGAGGTTTGGCTCACACATGTAAAGGCGTTCGACGTACACGATGTAAGGGCCCTATATTTTTTTTTATAAAAAAAGACACCCATCAAGAAAAACGTTTCGAATGAAACTGATTTCTAATAATATTAAGTGAGGCCAATATCATTTTCACAAATAAATGGTTTGGGGGATTTTAGTTCAGGCACATTGTTGAGAAAATAGTCTGAATTTTAAATGGACTTTGCAAAAAGTTATTTTCTAACTTACCATCAAAGAGTTGATGGCTTTGCCGTGGATGCCTTCCTGGAACATAAGTGCTAGGGGCACGAGTAGGAATGACATGCTAAATAGTGGGAAAACTGGCAGCGCTGTAAAAAGAATTGCAGCAAATGTACAAATTACTCTTGGGGGATTTTTCTTGAACTAGTTAAAACGCATTGGAATTGATGAATTGTAAATTCGGCGTACAAATGATTTATAAATGAATAAGGGTTGCTTGTCATTGTACGAATAGCCCGTCAGAAGGAAATGTAACTAGAGGATCGGCTTCTCATCTAACAACCGATGATTGATGGAAAAATTTTGAAAATAGAAACTGAACTTATTCCGCATCAGGTATTTGGAGGCATATATTAGCAATCTTTGTGCGCCTATTATATTGAAGTACAAACCATTCGAAGAATTATACATGCAACATTAACATTGTTAAACGTGTTAATCATTAGTAAAGTTTACGAAGACCTTGTAAGGTAAGTGCATCGAATAACTCGTAGAATTCTACTCAAATAATTTGTAAACCTACCTTTAAAATAACTTTGTGGAAACTGTGTCGACATTTGAAGAAGAAATTTTACAGTGAGTTTAAGCGGCAATCGAGACGTAGAAATGGTTTTGCGGTCATTGTGGATTTCGTCAGCTTCGTTCACAGCACATTTAACTCGATGAAACCGCCTACGTGGTTTCATAAGAAGTTATCTGAAAATGGTTAAAATGAAGGAGCCTTCGGTTCGGGCGTCGCCAGCCGTACTAGAAAACCTACTACGCGACTTGACCGTGTGTCTATCGCGTGGGATAAAAGTGCTGGCACAACTGGCGTGCTGCACGGATAAAATGAGAACAAAGCAGTCAATCTTGATGAACCAGGTTTGATACGGACGAGAAACACAATTCTGTTAAACAAAAAAAAAAAAAAAAAAAAGTCGTCAGAACAAATACATTGGCTAATTTTGGGATGGTCCCAGAACTCTCCCGAGAAATTCACTGTGTCACCTAAGAATTATAGTAGTCTAGTAGAGACAAGAGTTAGCGGTGGTAGCGTCAATGCCTGACAACCATAGGCTTCATATACATCAAGATGTGTGTGTGTGTGTGCGCGCGCGAGCGCGTGTGCGTGTGTCCGTGTGGGTGCGCATGTGTGTGCGCGTCTGTGCGTCACCAGCCTGGAGCCTCCGGTGGTATGGCGGCTGGAGAAGGGCGCCAAATGAATTATTGTACTGGTAAGTGGCTCCTAATGTGACTCGATTGTGCCGCCCTGCTATCTATGAGTGGTGTTCCATTAATGAGGGGCCCCAGGGGCCGTGGTGTGGCGGGAGCAGCAAGTTTGTCCCCCCCCTCTCTCTCTCTCTCCCTCTCTCTCTCTCTCTCTCTCTCTCTTACTTCCTATCACATCCCTCCTGCTCTGCCAGATCCCACGCCACCGATATAAAGGTAGAGTGGCCCACATCGGGGGAGGAGAGATGGAGAGGTGGAAGGTGAGAGGGGAGAGGGGGAG